ATAATGTAAATATAACTTCAAGTAACTAATTCAACTAATTAATTCGAAGCTAACACGCGAAATTAGGAAAATCGCCCAAAATGTCCCCCGGGCTCACGTCTCGAAATTGGATAAAATTTGCAAAATTGGAATCCTCACACTCTCACGAGTTCACACATACCAAATACACGAAAATCGGACCACAAGCAACCCCTCAAATCCCCAATTCCAAGTCTCCAATTTCAAACCCTAAACCCCCAAATTTAAACCTGATTTTCCATAAATTTATTGCCAAATCTGCAGAAAAATACCATAATAACGAGTTTGGGTTCCAAAAACCTTACCTCCTTGAAGCTCCCTTGAATTCTCTCTCAAAAACCTCTCAAAAAGCTCAAAATCCGGATGAAAATGGTGAAGGAATGGGCAAAAATCTCGACTGAAACCTTATATAGGTTCTGGCCCAGGGTTTCCGCACCTGCGGCCATTTCCTCGCACCTGCGGCCCTAGGTGCGCATCTGGGAGAATTCCTTTAAATCACCAAGCCGCACCTGCGCTTCTTCTACCGCACATGCGGTCTCGCAGGTGCGCTCCAGCTCTCGCACCTGCGACTTCATAATTCCAAATGCCCAGCCGCATCTGCGGCTTCTCCATCGCTTCTACGGACCCGCACCTGCGGTCGCATGCACGCTGGTGCAGTTATGACAGATCCGGCCAACTTCAGATTTTTCCTAAATCCAATTCAACTTGCGTAAAGCACCCGAAACTCACCCAAGGCCCCGAGACCTCAACCAAACATGCCAACCAATCATAAAACATCATACGAACTTATTCCAACCCTCGAATCACATCAAACAACGCTAAAACCACAAATCACTCTCCAATCCAAGCCTAAGGATTCTGAAAACTTCCAAATTCCGCTTTCGATCAAAAACCCTATCATATCTCGTCCGAATGACCTGAAATTTTGCACACGCTCCCCAAATGACACGACAGACCTATTCCAACTTCCAAAATTCCATTCCGACCCCGATATCAAATCCCACTATCGAATCAGAAACTTCAAAAATTCGACTTTCGGTATTTCAAGCCTAAATAAGCTACGGACCTCCAAAACACAATCCGAACACGCCTCTACGCCTGAAATCACCCAACGGAGCTAACAGAACTAACAGAATTCCATTCCGAGGCCATCTTCACACTGCTCCGACTACGTTATCCATTCTAATGCTTAAATTCTCATTTAGGGACTAAGTGTCCCAAAACTCTCCAAAATTCCAAACGAATCCTCCCGGCAACTCACAATAGCAGAAATAAACACGGGGAAAGTAGTTAATAGGGGATCAGGGCGTTAATTCTTAAAATGACCGGACGGGTCGTTACAAGTGGGGTACTAGTTCGGAAGAGCAAGGTACACAATTTCTTGTTTATTACATAAACCGAACTCTAGGAGATGCTGAAACCAGGTATCCTCGCTTAGAAAAATTAGCACTTGCATTGATAAGCGCATCTCAAAAGTTAAAACTATATTTTCAATGTCATCATATACAGGTATTAACCACCTAGCCTCTTTGAAATGTTTTGCATACGCCGGAGCTATCGGGTAGATTGGCCAAATGGGTCGTCGAACTTTGCGGATACGATATCGAATATCAACCCCGAACGGCCATCAAGTCTCAAATCCTAGCTGATTTCGTGGCTAATTTTACGCCAAACCTCGTACCCAAAGTGGAGAAAGAACTCCTGTTAAGCTCGGGAACAACATCGGGGGTGTGGACCCTTTTCATGGACGGCGCCTCGAATGTAAAGGGGTCTGGGTTTGGCATTGTATTGAAGCCGCCCACGGGTGATACCATTAGGCAATCTATCAACTCCAAGATTAACTAACAATGAGGCCGAGTATGAGGCAATGATTGCAGGTCTCGAACTAGCTAAAGCTTGGGAGCGGAAGTCATCAAAGACAAATGCGATTTTCTATTGGTGGTGAACCAAGTAAACAAAAGTTTCGAGGTTCGAGATGACAAAATGCAACGGTACTTGGATAAGCTACAAGTAACTTTGCACCGCTTCAAGGAATGGACTCTGGATCATGTGCCTCGGGAGCAAAATAGCGAGGCAGATGCACTTGCTAATCTGGGGTCCTCGGTCGAAGAAGATGATATCGTCCCGGGGACTGTCGTCCAATTATTAAGGTTTGTGGTTGAAGAGGGACATGCCGAGATAAATTTAACGAGTTTAACGTGGGACTGGAGGAATAAATATATCGACTACTTGAAGGGTGGAAAATCCCCGTCGGACCATAAAGTATCGAGGGCCCTGCGAGCCAAGGCTACTAGGTTTGCATTAGATAACGATCGAACATTGTACCGAAGAACATTCAATGAACATTGGCGGTATGCCTGGGGCCAGGGGACACCGATTATGTTCTACGAGATATCCATGAAGGCACTTGTGGGAACCATTCCGGTGCTGAGTCTTTGGTCTGCAAAAGTATCAGAGTAGGTTGCTACTGGGATAGCATGGAAAAAGATACTAAGGAATTTGTCAGAAAATTTTGTAAGTATCAACGATTTCCACCAATGATCCATCAGCCCGGAGAATGGGGAATAGATATAGTCGGCCCCAGGTAAAGCTAAATTTATTTTGTTTGTGACTGATTACTTTTCTAAGTGGGTGGAAGCACAGGCCTTGGAGAAGGTCCGAGAAAAAGACGTTATTGACTTTATTTGGGACCACATTATATGGCGATTCGGGATACCTGTCGAAATTGTATGTGATAATGGAAAGTAGTTCATTGGCAGCAAGGTAACAGAGTTCCTCGAAGCACATAAAATAAAGAGGATTTTATCGATAACGTACCACCCGATTGGAAATGGACAGGTCGAGTCAACAAACAAAACTATCACTCAAAACCTGAAGAAAAGGTTAGTCGAAGCAAAGGGAAAATGAAGAGAAGTTTTGCCTGAGGTCCTTTGGGCATATCGGACAACATCAAAGTCTAAGTACAGGGGCCACTCCATTCTCTTTAGTCTATGGCTCCAAAGTCCTCATCCCCATTGATGTCGAGGAACCCAACCACCAGGTTTCGACATGCATTAGAAGAGTCAAATCACGAGGCCATGAATGTCAGTCTCGAGCTACTAGATGAAAAACGAGAAGCAGCACTTGTTCGAATGGCCGCGCAAAAGTAAAGGATCGAAAGATACTACAATAGAAGGACCAACCTTCGACACTTCGGAATCGGGGACTTAGTTCTACGAAAGGTCACCCTCAACACTCGAGACCCTAATGTGGGGAAGCTAGGCTAGAATTGGGAAGTACCGTACCGAGTCCTCGGAGTCGTCAGTAAAGGACCTTACAAACTTTGCATAATCGAAGGTTAACAATTGCCAAACAACTGGAATATATCATTACTAAAAAAATACTACTCACTACTAAAAAACCAGGTTTTAGCGACGGACAAATTCCGTAGCTAAATAGAAAACTCCGTCGCTAATCTCATTTAGCGATGTTAGCAATGGATTATTAATAAATTCTGTTAGCTACGAGCGTTTTAGCGACAAATTAGCGACAACGTTCGTAGCTAATTCCAGTTTTTTTTGTAGTGACTGTTGAGTTACAACTTTATGCTTTGTCCATTTGAGTTTAAAAATAACTTATTACAGATTTTCGATGAAAGTTATCGAAGGTACGCAATCTCGAAGACACCCAGGATTCTTTTCAATCAACATCGAATACTTGGGGGGAATCACCCTCGGAGGTTATATTTTCAAGCAGAATAATTCACGCCTAAGAGGGCCTCGATAGGAAAACTTTGTAATGGACCAAACGGTCAGATGAATCGTGTCCATATGGAATAGTCGAGCCCCGACGGCAAAGCATGTACGCATGTATCAAATTACTTGAAGAAGCATTCTATTTATATCAAAAATACTTTGTGTCTCAAAAACGTCTATAATTATTCGAGCTCTACACTTACAATCATACGGGAAACGGCTCAAGAGCCAAAACATAAAAGCACCCCTGAATACTCGGGGACTGTCATCGATAGTCAATACATTCGAGTCACCAAAAACTCGGACTTGTAAGACCTCAAAGAGGCATCCCCTCGAAACAAAGGACAAGGCCAACATACTCGGGGACTAACTTTTCAAACAAGTTCGAAAAGTTATCGAGAAAGAAGTCCAAGTGGCATACCCGAAGGCTACGGCAATATTAAAGACTACGGTCATATAAAAAGGCTATGGCCTAATTAATGCGGCTCGGAGACGTCCGACTTCCTCTATAAATAAAAGGCCTTCAAACACTTCGAAAAAACCGGTTAAATCAGGCTACCCTCGGCAAAAGCAAAATATAATGGGCTTCAATAAATTCAGCCCCCAAATAATTTAATGGGCTTCGATAAATTCAGCCCTCGAATAATTTAAAGGCTTTGATAACATCATCCCTCGATAAAACCTCAAGAGGTATTCGATTATCAGTACACAAGCAAGCTCCCGATACGTTGAACCTTCGAAAAACCCTACGGTTACAAAAAACACATGCTAAGGCGTAACTAAATTTTCACTAAGTCTTTTAGCCAAAACGAGGGAAAAATTATATAGGCAATCTAGAGGCCGAATTGGCCAACTTAAAGAGCCTAAGGGCCAACTTAAAAATCCTAAGGGCCAATTTAAAGAGCCTAATGGCCGATATATAAGAGCCCAAGGGCCAACTTCGAAAGGCTTAAGGGCAACAAACTTATAGTTCGAAACTCCATTATCACTCGACCCGGACTCAAGAGTCATGATATCCCGAGCTCACATCGGATCGATTTAATCTTAGCTCGAGGATTATTATATCTATCGATAAAGACCTAAGGTTTTATTATGTTCTGAATTAGAATCAATACTCGGACTGATTGTTTGAATTATCGAAATCTTCCGCAAATGAAAACAAAATAAAATTCAACAAAAGTTGAGGATAGAGCGAAATGATACTTTATATTCATGAGGGGTGTTTTACCAAACTTATTTACAACGCCCGCAAGGGGCCCTTGCACAAAAAAGAAAAAGAAAACCTAATCTATTTTCGGGGTCAGATCCCCGGGAGCGCAATCCTCAGGAATTGCACCTTCGCCAGCTCTATCTTCGGGAGCCTCCTCTCCCTCAGGAATATCTTCTTCACATTCCCCATTCCCGGAGCCACTCGCTACATCCTCATCATCAAAAGAGGAAATAAACATGATATCGATTTCCCGCGCCTTTGCCTCGGCTATCACCTCGGCAAAATTGAACCCTCGGGAATTGACTTCTTCGAGGATCTCCCTCCGGGCTTGGCACTTGGCCAACTCATTGCTCCATTTTTCCCGGTTGGAGGCCTCCCTCAACTCAGCTTTAACGGCCGCGACGTTCCTTAAGTATACGGCAATGGATTTATTAGCCGCAGGCTTTGTCTTCTCAGCTTCAACCTTAGCCTGTGCAGCTTCGGCCCGGGCTCTAGCGAGCTCTGCCTCTAACTCGTCAATCTTCTTGGCCTGAGCCAGACCCTTCGCTTTAATGCCTTGGAGCTGAGTTTCAGCCGAGGCCAGTTGGGCTGTAACAACTTCCTTATCGGCAGCAAGCTGATCCATGTTCTTTTTCCACCTATGACAATCAGCTTTAACTTGATCAACCTTGCTCTGGAGCTGCCCAATCATCTCCAACTTTTGCTGTAGCTGAGATAGCAAAGTGTTAGGCTCCGAAATAGGGCCAAGAAGACCGTACCCTGTTAATATCACAGTTACCTGCTCATCTAGCTCGGCCTCGTTTTTCTGGGCTTTCGCCAATTCAGCCCGAAGATCCTTAAGCTCCTCATCCTTTTGGCTACAGAGGAGCCTCAGGTCCTTCTCTTCACCTGAAACTTTCTTGAGCTAGTCCTCACATTGGCTCAGCTCAGCTCTATGCTTTACAATGGCCTATACATGAATTAAAGATATATCAGTGAAAGGAAAAGAAAGAAAGAGAGAAAATTACAAAAATGAAAGTAAGTATTTACCCGAGAAAGGAGATGTTGGGCCTCTTAGAAGAGGGTGGATGCATCGTTAAGGTCGGCGGTATCATCGACCCCAGCAAAGCAACTCTGAAAGGGATCTTCTTCAAGGACCTTGCTCGGATCGGGCATACGCAGAGCCCTAGCTTCTTCTATTGCATCCTCGGAATAATGTAATACCCCCAATATTTTAAATGATGTCATATGGGGTATTTAGTATATAATTTAAGTTTAAAAAATAAAAAAAATAAAAAAAAGGGATAATGGGCCAAAACCTATGGGAAAGACTTGGTAGAGTCAAAAAATATAAAGAATATGGATTAAGGGAGGGGTTTCGAAGCAAAAAATAAAAACTTTCTGCCGCAACAAAGTCTTATATAAAGAGTCCTAATACAGTAGCAATTGCATTGTTGAATTGGAAAGAGAAAACAAAAAAAAACTTAACAGGATCAATTCGAGAATTAAGAGATCAAATTCGTACCGGTGAAGGACGCACACGTGCTAGGCTTTGGGAGCACCTGATACGATTTCTTGGAACCATACCAACACTATACTCGAAGCCTCAAGAAAAACTCTTTTACTTCTTTCGGGTATTACGTGAACCCTCCATCTAAAATTTTGTTGGCAGACTCCCTTTTAATAAGGTGTTCTTATAACTACTATCGAACAATCTATTAGACTATTTTGTAGCACTAGGTAAAGGTAACAAATTTATAATTGATTTTTCTATTCATATCAGATTTACAAATCAATATCATATTTACAAATCAATATCATATTTACACTTTTAATTGTTTGAGTTGGAAGTCAAGATGCCAACTTGATCTGTTGTGCCTATATTAACTAATAAAGGGATAAGGGAATATATATATATATATATATATATATATATATATATATATATATATATATATATATATATATATATAACCTTATTGTTAGACATCCCCGAAGCTCCAAAGTACTAGTAAAGAAGTTTGAAGGGTTTGAGAATTGAAAAAGAGAATTAAATTGCGATATATATTTATTAAGATAATGGATTATGGAGGTGATGTGTATTAACACTAGATTTATATTGATTTATAGATTTCACACAAATTGGGCATTTGGAGTGAAAAGAAGTCGAGCTTTGGCTAGTAGGCATCAAGAGGTGAGTAGTAATCTTACCGCAATTTGTCTTTTCATAACTTGCTTGATTTATACATGATTTTTAATATGAATATGTTACCGATTATTTTAAGTTGCATGTGGGACAAGTCTTTTACTCGATATGATACCGAAATAGTTATTTGAGATGATTACCGCTGTTTTAAATATTTTGCTGTCACTAGATATGTTTTACTGTTACTTGAATTTTACTGTTATCTAAATGAAATTACATGATTTGATTAGAACCGAAATGCCCTATATTGTTTTAAAATATTTTCATATGAGTATCTACGGATACAGAGACAAGTATAAATGGGAGTAGATTTTGAAGGATCCCGTAGCTAACAGCGGGTTCATTAGACATGGTGCACCTTGTATTTACCGATTACAGAGTACACTTATAGCCCTCGCTAGTGGAAAGGTAGAACTAGCATACCGTTACCGATTTCCCTCGAGTAGGGACTACCGTTATATTTGACTTCTTGCGAAGAAGTCCGCAGTTATACCGATTACATGATCCGTTCATTGAAACCTCCCAAATGTGAATATTGATATTATACAGTGGTTACCGAGCTTATTACTGAACTGTTAATTGTATTATACTACAAGAAAAGCATGATGAGACAGAAAATTATTTATTGTTTCTGAAAGGGCATTTTGATGTTATTTTCTGTTTGAGATACTAGCATGTTTTCTGACTTGTCCCCAATAAAAATGGTTGTGGTTAAGTGTTATTACTCACTGAGCTAGCGACTCATTCCCAGCTAATTTTTTTTACAGAGACAGCAGTTGACGCGGGCGAGGATTTCGTTAATTAGAGCGCACGGGTTGATAGTTCTTGGTGAGCCTTGCACTTGATCGCATGGGCGAAGATTTTTATCAATTGTTATGGTCTTTTGTTTGAAATCTTAGAGTCGCTCCATGGTCATACTTTTAGTGTCATGAGTATTATTTTGTTATTATAGTCTTATGTTGAGTATCGTTCTTTATTATGAAGGTTGGAGATAAATTAGTATTTCTGGTTGTTAGTGGGTTGATTAGTAATGGTGGAAACTCGTTTTGGTTGATTGATAGATTGTCAATTGTTTGGTATGATATTAGGATGTTTGGTTGTTCATTTGAGACAGGGAAATTTTTGGGATAGCCCAAAAACAGGGGAAACTCTATCCGATTTTCTGTAAAATACCGATTAGGCTTACTTGGGAGCACTTGCTCCTAAGCGCCAGTCACAATCCTAAATTGGGTCGTGACAAATAAGTTGGCAAAGAAAGGGAGTGACCTATTGTCATGGCCCCGAGCTCGTCACTCGGGGCATTCTCGTTAGCTTCGGGGGTCTCCGCATTTGCCCCTTCCGGCATATTTGTTGAAGGCGGAGGAACGATCTCAACCTCCGAGGACACGGGGGCCTTGCCCGCATCTTTCTTTGGGGTTCCTTCACCTCGGGATGAGGACTCTAGTTCGGAGAGCATGGATGCCTCGATTGGTTTCCTAGTTCGAGGCACCAACACCGACTCTTCACCATTATTTTCTCCGTCATCCGGGGAATCCTGGGCCGAATCTGTGTCCTCGTGAGGAAATCTCTTCCGTAGCCTTCGAGCAAGGGTTTTCTTATCTTGAGGGTCTTCAGGCTTCGAGACCCTCTTCCTTTTGTTTTCCTTCCCCGATTTCGTAATCGAAGGCTTGGTCTTTTCCCCGGGCGGAGCCGGCCTTATCTTGGATGCATCTCCAAGGCCTGCATAAGTAAACGTGAATGAGTTGACGCCACCAATATATGAAAAGTACTTGAAACTTGGAAAAAGCACTTACCATGATTCTTGGCCTCCCACTGGACCATCGATAATTCACACCACTTGCGCTCATCCTAGGAGGAGGTGGCAGCTAACTTTCGGACCCAATCCTCGAGGTCTAACACCGCGTGGGGCGCCCAGGCAGTGGCTGCCAAAAGGAGGGTAAAGGCATTATGAAATGTGAAAGCAGAATATGGATAGATGCTGGGAAAAAGAACTCCACTTACGATTAAAGTTCCACCTCTCCAGGAATGACATTTTATCCCTGGGGATGACATCCAAAGTTCTTACTCTAACGAACCGGCTCATCCAACCTCGATCTTGGGTTTCATCGGAACTAGCAAAGAAGGCTTTCGTTGTTCGACATTGCAGCTTGATAAGCCCTGGAAATAGCTGGGGCCGATACAATCGAATCAGCTGGCTGAGTGTGAATTCCATCCCCTCGGCCTTTTCGGAAAAGTAGCGAAGCATGATCACGATACGCCAAAAAGAGGGGTGAATCTGGCCGAGGGTGACTTCGTATATTTTGCAGAAGTTGATCACCACCGGATGGAGCGGACCAAGTGTGAAGGGGTAAGTGTAAACACTTAAAACCCCCTCCACGTGGGTAGTAATGGTTTCCCCGGGGCTTGGGATCTGAACCACGACCTCATCTCCCCAACCACAGTCCTTCTTCACATTTTTAAGATGCTTCTCCGATATCAAACTAAGATATTGAGATGCATGCTCGCATCGACCTAGGACATCGGGGGGATTTGCAATGCTAAAGTCCTTCTTAATCACACAAGGGCTAGGGGTGATTTCTTCAAGAGTCGGCGGCACCACCGGTTTTGCCGGCTGAGAGGTAGAAGAAGTCGACGCTTTATCTTTTTTGGGGACCGTTTTGGATGTTTTAGCCATGATTTCAAACTAAAGGATACAGAACGTGTCAGAATGTGGTGTTTATACAAGGACCTGACGTTTTCCGGCGCTCAAGGAGGCGGTGGAAACAGACGATTAGAGAAAGAGAAGAGGAAGGGAAAGATATAATGAAAGAGTAGAGTTCTTTGCTCAAGGATATAGCCTCATATTTGTAGAAGAGCGACGACGGTTTGGCGGCGCTAGTGGCCGACCAGTGCTGGCATACATTTAATGTTTTGCGGAAGCGAACCGACGGAACGTTTCATTTACTTCGAGCACCTGTGTCACAGGGATGACGTCATCATTATGGACCCCGAAAATCGAAGTTCTAATCGTTTCTTATCATCTTATTCTACGAATTGAAGGGACAATCTGCATACGGTCAAAATCAGAGGCCTCCGATTTATAGGATCGAGGATCCGTCATAGGCCCAAGTTCAGGCAAGGTCGAGTTCGAGACCGGTGGACCAGAGGCAAGCTCGAAGATAGAGTGCAATGCCCGGAGATAGGAGAACGAGGAATACCATGCCCGAGTATACTCGACCCCGGAATAGTACAGTTAGGAATTTGTAACAGAATGAGCTAGATTCCTCCCACGTCCCCATAATTGTGGCACAAATCCCGGAATAAGATTGTACGATTCCGTACTAGGCGGTTAGACAACTGTATCAAGAATATTCCCTACTGTAAATAGAAATATTCCTTATTTAGGGTTCCCCTATTATATAAAGGGGACCCCAATCATTTGTAAAATCATCTTATCACCGAGCAAAGAACATACTCTCTACCTTTTTCGCCTAACGTTCATCAGCATTGTCCTTTAGCTCTATTGTTCTTACTTTACTTTTATTATTTAATTGTTCTTATTATTCCAAGCGTACCTCGAGGTCACTGAGCTCGAGGCCATTGCTGCTGAGTAAAATTGGTTTGATTTACTTTTTGCTTTCATTTCTACTTCATACTTCTTGATTATTAATTGGTATTGAACTAAATCACGTATCTTTAAAACTACAAATCAAATTTAATTCCGTGATTCCGTGATTCGCGCCATGATCTTGGGGACGTGGCTTGAACCTAGCTCATTCTGTTACAAACCCATAACGGTACTATTTTGGGGTCGAGCACACTTGACCTCGGTATTCCTCGAACTCCTATCTCCAGGGATCGCACTCTGTCTTCGAGCTCGAGTTTGGTCCGCCGGTTTTGAACTTCGACCTCGCCGGACCCAGGCCTAGGATGGAACCTCGAGCCTATAAATCGGGGGCATATGATTTTGACCGTATACATTAGTAGTGTCAAAAGACTACTACTACCTCAGAAAAAATAACACTCTTTAAAAATACCTCACTACAATATTACCCACACTCACTATTTATCTCACATACTACAATCTGTGGATTACTCTAACTTCTATTGCTTCACTCTTATTTCTGTGTTATTGAAATGAAGGATGGAGGCCTCTATTTATAATAAGAGTTGCCATCCAACTACTAAAAGAAGATGGCTTGTTGTTGATTTAGTCTTATAATTTTTCAACAAAGTTAGGCACCTATCACATTTTTTCTTCAACAAAGTTAGGCAACTATGCCATTTTTTTTTCAACAAAGTTAGGCACCTATCCCATTCTTTCTTCAACAAAGTTAGGCACCTATTCCATTTTTTTCTTCAACAAAGTTGTCAACAAAGTTAGGTACCTATCACAATTTTTCTTCAACAAAGTTAGGCACCTGTCCCATTTTTTTCTTCAACAAAGTTAGGCACCTCCCAACCCATTTTTCTTCTTTTTGTTTTCTTCAATACGAGCGCCACAATTGAAACATCACTAGCTAACTTAACTTTTCACAGCTTGAACAACCCCATTATTTACATTTTTTTATTATCGAATAAATTATTAAAGTCACAAGATTATATTAATAAAGTAAAGCAGCAATTTATAATTATATTTGACTATGAGCCACCAAGCCTTTAATTATTGGATAACATATCTTCTGTACAATAGAGTAAGGAATTGAGGAGAAACATATCTCTCATTCTCTTAGCTTTATCGTTATCGTCCAGCGGACATTGTCTAACCCCATCTTTCGTTTCGAATTGTGAATTAGACATTGAAAATAAAACAAAGTTCAAGTCTTCAAGACTTCACATCTTCTTGCATCCACATTCAGCTTCCCCATTTCTTGTTCGGAGGTTTTGATTTTAAACATTTAAGTAAAATAACTTAGGTTTTGATTTCATAATCAACAATGGAGGAATCAACACTGAGGAAGACTACCCTTACACAGCCATGGGCGGGAGATGCGACCAAAATAGGGTCAGTTTCACACTCTTGTTCAACACTAAATATTCTTAAAGATCAACTAAACACTGCCAATATATGAAATTAAGCATTTGTTAGTCGCTCGCCCCTACTAGTTTTCAGTCGAGACATAGTTGATTGATTGGATTAATTTGTATCATGCAGAAAAATGCTAAGGTTGTGACAATTGATGGGTATGAAGATGTTCCCGCTTATGATGAAAAGGCCCTACAAAAGGCTGTTGCAAATCAACCCGTCAGTGTTGCCATCGAAGCAGGTGGCAAGGACTTTCAACATTACACCTCGGTAATAGTCTTTTGCTTTGCGTTTGCCTCTTGATTTTATTTAATGGAATGAAATGCATATGAGCGGATGAGGACCGGCTTATTCATATAGTCGACTACTACCTTAACTTTATTGGAATTTAGGTATTGTTGTTGTATAGAAATACATATGAACGTGTCCAATCTGCAATCATTCAGTCAGCCAGGCCAACAAAACATGCATGTTACATTATATTGTCTCTAAAAACATGTAAGTATGTGTTGAGGGGTGAATGAGGAATAAGATGACCATGGTGGATTAAGAAGTAGATCGCCTTGGGGTGGGGGTGGGGGCAGGGGTTGGCGAGGAAAGTGAAGGGAGGGGAATACTTTCAGAAATGTGTTCTTTTTTTCTTTTTGTTTTCTCAAAAAAAATAATTGGATTAATTAATGAAAAGTCACGTGGCATTTTTTTATGAGAAAATCTCACTTTATACCCATTAATTCTAAACGATTTAGCCTTTAATGTCCAGGCCCAAACTATTTACTACTCCTACCCATTGGCCCCCAAACTATTTATCCGCATTATTATGTTCCTCTTCTTCTTCTTCCTCATTTTACCTTCCTCCAATTCTTCGTCTCTTGTATATTTCTTCTTATTTATTCTTACTGTAATCGCCACTAGCTAGTCACATCAGCAACACGTAATATTCGTCCTTATTCGACCTTAATTTAGTTTTAGTTTCAATGGAATCTTAACAATTTGGATATTGTTTTCTCTTGCTCGGTTTTCTAATGGAGTACTCATTAATTGTTGAAGTGGTGCTATTATTTGAAGATTTATTGTTTGATTCCATGTGGTGCTATAAAATATTGCTTATAGTATCTTCGAGTAAGCTTCCCAGATCTAAATTTTTATGTGTATTTGAATATCCACCATTGTTGGGCTTGAAGCTCAATTTTATTTTTGAAGATTTCTTGTTTGATTCAAAGTGGGTGCTGTTAAATATTGCTTATAGTACCTTATGGAAGTTCATACTAAAATTTGATAGCGTTTGGAGCTGATTTGAGGTGATTGAGATCGAAATTTTCAGTTGAAAATCGAAGAAGAACACAGTTACAATATACCGCTACGGTATACAATATGTTGTAGGAGTATATAGCTATACTGCAACACTATACTATTATAGTTTAGAAAACAGTATACCGCTTCAGTATACTAATATACCATAGGAGTATATAGTTATACTGCAACACTATACTATTATAATATACAATATATTGTTATGGTATACTGTAATAATATGCAAGATACTGTAGCAATATGCTGTAATAGTATATAACTTGTCTTTTCCCTTTTAATTTGTTTTGAGCTTTTACCCATGTGTGACGGGCAAACTGAAAATGCAAAAAAAAAAATTTATAGTATGCTATATGATGTAACGGTATAGTCTTACAATTAGATCCTTTTAGAATTTTTAATTTTTTTTTTTTTGACAACTGATATTATTTCAGTTTAATAATTGAATTAAAAAAGTTCTACCTCTTTGCGTACAATTGTATACCTTGTTGGTATAACTATATAATATACTGGTATCATATGTTAGTTAATATTTTTTTGGTTGTATTAATTACATTTAATTGGTACACAATTTTTTTTTTTTGTAATAATATAAAAAAAGAATAATAAAAAATAGTGAAAACAGTAAATGAAATTAGATTATGGAGAGAAAAAGAATATAAAACAATAGAAGTTAAATAAAATTAGAAAAGAAAAAAAGAAGAAAAAAAGAAGAAAACGAGAAAAAAAATGGAGAAAAAAAAAGAAAAAAGAAATGAAAAGAAGCATAGAAATAAAAAAGAATTGGAGAATAAAGAAAAAATTCCCCACAAAAACCTACTATGGGTAGGAAATGTAGTTAGTTTATAGGTAGGAAAATAAATGGGTAAACAAGGGTAAATAGTTTTATTTTTGTGGGTCACTGTGTCAAAACCCCCTTTTTTAATTGAATGTTTTGCTAGATTACTATTGTTGAAGTGCACTTTAACTGATGTTACGTTGTAGTGCTCAACTAGAACAAGTCTAAGTCAAAAGTGTTTAAATGAAAAGTTGTTGCTAACTTTGAGGATATATTTATAGAGTTAACCCTAAATGAAAGTCAAACTTGTACCAATCTTCAAACCACTTCAAACAACATCAAATTCCCCAAAACTCATCGAATTCAAGCCTAAGTTTCTAAAAATCTTCCGAATCCCGCTTTTGATGAAAAACCCAACCAAACCACCTTCGAATGACCTGAAATTTTGCACACACGTCCCAAATGACATAACAGAACTACTGCAACTCTCGGAATTCCAATCTGACCCTCGGATCAAAATCTCACTATCGAACCGGAAACTTCAAAATTCGACCTTTCGGCATTTCAAGCCTAAATTAGCTACGGACCTCCAAAATACAATCCGGCCACATTCCTAAACCCAAAATCACCTAACGGAGCCAACGTAATCATCAGATTTCCATTCCGAGGCCGTCTTCACACTGTTCCAACTACGGTCAACTTCCCAACAGTTAAACTCTCATTTAGGGACTAAGTGTCACAAAACTCTCCGAAACTCAAAACCGAACATCCCGGCAAATCAAAATAGCAGAAATAAACTATGGGGAAGCGGTTAGTAGGGGATCGGTNTAGGTAGGAAAATAAATGGGTAAACAAGGGTAAATAGTTTTATTTTTGTGGGTCACTGTGTCAAAACCCCCTTTTTTAATTGAATGTTTTGCTAGATTACTATTGTTGAAGTGCACTTTAACTGATGTTACGTTGTAGTGCTCAACTAGAACAAGTCTAAGTCAAAAGTGTTTAAATGAAAATTGTTGCTAACTTTGAGGATATATTTATAGAGTTAACCCTAAATGAAAGTAATCCAACTTTCAAAACTCATTCTAGCTTATGAAACACATCTTAGCAATATAATCTGGGGATTGGGATGACGAACATAATAGAATATAGTGATACATTTGTTTATACTTCTTATACGGGGATGTAATAAATTAAGTAACTACAACCCCCATTCATTACATTCCAAAATTTAACAGAGAAAAATATTTATTTGAAATTCTCTATGTATAATTGTAATGATACATTTTTTTCTATAGATAAGACAGATGCATTATAAATAAGTAAAAACATAAAGTACAGCAGGAAAGAAAGTACAATGGTGATGGGTATAAGTAAATAAGAAGAAAAGATAAGTTTAAAACATGTTTGATGCCACCAAATTACTCCGGTGAAGGTGAATAAGGAGTTGCAATCAAATAAAAGTCACTCTTTCTAAGAACAGCTAATCCAGTCGATTCAGCTAAGTCCAACTAACTTGGAGTAATTCCTGTAGGAAGATTCCAATCAAAGTGGTACAATAATTGAGCCAGTGGCAAATAAATATTAGTTAAACCAAATGATATTCCAGGGCAAATTCTTCTTCCACTACCAAAGGAAAGATATTCAAAATTATTACCAGTAAAATCCATAGTGCTATGCTGAAATCTTTCAGGATTAAAGCTTTCTGCATCAACCCAATATTTTGGATCTCTTCCCATTGCCCAAACATTAACAACGATTGTGGTTTTTAAAGGAATAGTGTAGCCATTTATATTTGTTTCTTCTCTACATTCTCTTGGAATCAACAGTGGAAGTGGAGGATGGAGTCTAAAAGTTTCTTTAATGACTAACTTTAGGTACTTCAACTCCTCTACATTATTTTCATCGAAAGTTTCTTTGCCATTAAAAGCCTCTCTTACCTCAGCTTGAGCTTTGATGAGTATACTTGGATTCTTCATCGTTTCTACTATGGCCCAAGTAACTGTTGACGATGAAGTTTCTGTTCCAGCAGCGAATAAAACCTGCATTTATGAGCGAGTTTGATATTTGTCGTGAATGCTAGCTATTTATATTTATAATCTTTTCACCAATTTCTACTGAAATATTTTAATTTCTTATAACTTCAAGGTCAAAATTATTTTTCAAAACATGATATTTAGCTATTATTACATTACCCTAGAAAAACTATGTTGTTGTGGTTGAATTGTTTTTTTAATTATAACCCTTTTAATGTGTAAATTTCTTTACGAAACCATGATCGGATGTCCTACCTGAGACTATATCAACATTCTATGTACCAAAAATGATTATCAAATTTAAGAATGAAAGTGCATGCATGCGTGAATAATAATGAGGATACAATTATGCATTATATAAGACTCACAATAATAATGGCCTTGATGTTGTCAATTGTGATTGGAAACTGAAGGATTCCATCCTTCATAAGTCTTAGCACTACATCAATTAAAACTTCATTTCCTAATTCACCGTTTGTCACGATCCGGATTTTCCACCTTCGGGAGTTGTGATGGCGCCTACTATTAGGAGCTAGGCAAGCCAATTATTTATTATCTCTTTTAGCAAACCTCGACTTTAATAAAAACAACGAAACATTTAATAGAAAAGCGGAAGTCTTAAATATAAATAAACGGAAAACAATGCGGAAGTTCAATACAACTCTACCCAAGAACTGGAGTCACAAACTCACGAATGTCTAGAGAATGCTAAATACAATGTCTGAATAAAAACATAATTCTGTTTGTTCCGGTACAAAGGATAACAAACTAAAGTAAAGATAGAAGAAACTCCGGGCCATGCGGACGCCAGCGAGGCTACCTCGGGATCTCTTGACTGAAGTCAGCTCCCAAAACTCCTACTGCTGTCCAAAAGTTGCTCCGGCACCGTGATCTGTGCAAAAAGATGCACAGAGTGTAGCATCAGCACAACCGACCCCATGTGCTGGTAAGTGTCTGGCCTAACCCCGGCGAAGTAGTGACGAGGCTAGACCGGACTACCAAACAAATCTGTGCAGTTTGATATATATTTATGCAATATAAAGGTATACAGAAATTAACCAGTCAATGGGGAGGGGGAGCACGCTGTAGGGGCTGTAACAGTTCAGGTATAAAAATCAATAATTGAGGAATGAAACTGTACAACTACAATCGCAACGATAGTAGGAAATCAACAGTTGCACGGCACCACCCTTCGTGCCTTTACTCTCATTCTCACCCAAACAATCATATAAAGTGCACGGCATCACCCTTCGTGCTTTACCTCACAAAATGATGGCACGGAATGACCCTTCGTGCATAAACACTCATATCCTGGCACGGAATGTTCCTTCGTGCATTAGTATTCAAATCAGGGCACGGAATGTTCCTTCGTGCATTAGTACTCAAAACAGGGCACGGAATGTTCCTTCGTGCAATAGTATTCATATCACAATCGTGCACGGCATCACCCTTCGTGCTTTATCACTCGTCCTCACCCAAACAACAATCAGGAACAATGGGGCGAGGGGATAGACAAACAGTAATAGAAGTCCCGGCAAGGGAAACACAAGTAAACAATTAAATCCCGGCAAGGGAACAACAATAATAATTTTCACATCCCGGCAAGGGAGGTAATCAAAACACGAATACGGCCCGACAAGGGAATAATCACATTTCTTTCTCTTTCTTTCTTTTCTTACTCAATAATTACTTTATCATTCGAGCCAACGCTCCAAAAAGTTCACAAATCATAATTTGTTCTCATACTCTTCACATTATATAGAGTTCATCAATTACACGAGGAAGAGTCACAACAAAATAGGAATAAACACAATATACGGACTCACGGTCATGCTAGACACCAGTGTGTAGATACTCGTCACCATGCCTATACACCGTACTCGGTCAATTAGCAGATGGAAAATCACACAAAAAATAGTTTATTTTTACATTTTAATTTTAGTTTGGATTTTTGGTAGTATTCCTTTTAATTTGGTTTTAATTAGATGTAGTAAGTATTAGATGTAGTAATTACTTTAACTTGATAGGATAATGTGATTAGGGATTAATTTAGGTTTGTTTTTATTTTATTTTAATTTAAAAAGAATTTAAAAGAAATCAGAAAAATGAAAAAAAAAGGAAAATGAAAGAAAAAGAATTAAGGAAGACAAAATTTGGGCTGTTTGTTAGCTTGCTCAAGCCCAAACCAATGCCCCACACCTAAATAAATCCCCAGGCCCAAAATTTTCCTCCCGAACCCGCCCAAGTCCAACCCGTTACCCGGTCCAGCCTCGTCCTCAGCCAAACGACCCCGTTTAGTCTAGTTTAGATCTGAGCCGTCGAGGATCTTTGATCCAACGGCTCTAAACTAGGGGTCATTTGGTATATTATTGTCCAAACGCCCCCCTACCCCCATCTCTCGTCTCTCATCCCCCTCACAGAACCCCATTAGCACCGCCCTAAAACCGTCGCCTGCCGCCCGCCGGAAATCGCCTACGGCGGCGGCCGGCATCCAACCACCACCAATGTTACACCACTGCTCATCTCCACTTCCCCATCCTAGATCCCCACTCAGTTTCCCCCAAATCCCACCGTATCGCCTCAAATCTTGGAAACCCTAGCGCCGCCCAAATTTCCTCCGGTGGCGGCGATTGCTCCTTGTAAAAGTGAAACATGTGACTTAGAATCTTTGCTACAAATATTAAGCTACTTTATTACTTGGTGTTTGAATGTCTCCCTTCCCCCACCTCTGTTATATAAAGAGTGAAGTTGCATTAAGATACACCATTTTTGTTAGTGATTCCAAAAGGGTCACTTTAGTGATGCAAAAAGAAAATAGCAAATCTGATATTGCTCCATGTAAAAGTGAAACATGTGAGTACTCAGACTCTTTGCTACAAATATTAAGCTACTTCCTATTACTTGGTGTTTGAATGGCTCGTGTATCGTTAATTAGGAACCCATCACTTTATCTTCCAGAAGAGGCAAGGTTTACCATCCTAAATGATAAAACAATTGGGAGGATTCCTTGTGGTAGCCATGTTTGAGAAGTTGAAACTTCGCTACTCGGTGCACTAAGCTAGCTGTGCACAGGGTCGGAGGAAGGGCCAGAGCTTATTGAGTCTTTTTTACGCAGCCTTACCTTACATTTCTACAAGAGGTTATTTCCGCAGTTTAAACCTCTGACCTCTTCCTGGTATCACGGAGGCAGCTCTTATCATTGCGCCATGTTCCCCTTCCATAGGTTGATTCCTTTCTCTGCATTAACATTATTTTTTGTTAAAGAAATGGATCTTGGCCCTAAATCAATCCCAAAAAAGCTAGCTCAAGTGGTGAGGATTGCTCAAGCCATACTAAGGAGATCACCCATCCCTTAAAGCACCGATGTAGGACTCTTCACGCCCGACACCCCTTATGCCCAGGGATGGACATATGGAGCGTGGGAATTTAATATGAGGGCCCAACACGGGGAAACGAGAATTGAGATGAGTGCAGCTCTGGTACCATGTTAAAGAAATAAATCTTGGGCCTACCTCAAACCCAAAAGCTAGCTCAAGAGGTGAGGATTGCCCAAGCCTAAGGAGACTACTCATCCCTTAAAGCACGTTGTGGGACTCTTCACAGTTTTCACCTTGGATAATTTTACATGGCTGCTTGATATTTTCTTGCTCCCATAATATGTTAGAACCCATTAGAAAGGCTCCCCTTCCCTGATTATCAACTGATTTGAGTATCTTTATGCTATATGATCTCGCAGTGGTCCAAGGGCAGTTTCTGTCGTCAATTCATCGTCAGAAAGGCTTGGAGGGACAAGTATAGTTGCAACAGCTGTTGTGCCAGATGATGAGCAAAAGATAAAAGACATGTTGCAGAAGTGGAGTGATGTTGACAAAGTGGATCTTATTCTTACCCTTGGTATGTTCCTAAGTTATTATGGTCATGGTCCCATTTCTTTGCCGAGCTGATAATATTTTTATTAATTACTCTTACTGGATGAGTCAGGTGGGACCGGCTGTACGCCAAGGGATGTTACCCCTGAAGCTACCAAAAGTATGATACAGAAAGAAACACCTGGTCTTCTCTATGTTATGATGCGAGAAAGTCTGAAGGTATCAAAGTTCTCATATCACTGTTATTCCATGGGCATTTTATTCAATTGCATATGTATTAAATGTGGTAAAAATTTGGCAGATAGTTTATACACCCTTGTCTGTATAACCTTCACCTAGTTCATTGCCGAAACTATGGGGGCATTGAAAACGATAGAATAGTATAGTAACTAACGGTAGTCGACAACCAACCATGTCTCATAGTCGTACAACGGTACGATTAGTCGTTGNCCACTTCTGAAAAGAAGATAATGTACTTTACAGGTAAAAGATTAGGATAAGAAGACATTCTATGACGTTGTAGGGAGACAACAACAGACCAAGTACTTAGTTGAATTTTTTCCGTCTGCCTAACTTTGATAGACAGAGTTATCCGGTGGATAGTCGAGGTGTCTGTAAGCTGGTCCAGACACAACTGTTATCCAAAAAAGTATATAAATGAAATAAAAGGGAGAAGGAGCAAGCTTTGAAGCTGACTCTGTTCTAGACCAAAAAGAGCTGTATCCCAAACTGCACCCCACCCACCACGAAAAGTATCTCAACCTTTGAAGTTGACTCTTTTCCTTAAGTATAAAAATGAACGTAGAGAATTCAAGTTAAGCAAGTGAATTTTCTGTCTGCCATTCTGGTGGCCTTCTTGTATTAAAGCAATGAGGGATGTGTATTATCAAACAACTAATGACGTGACCTTCCTTAGATAACATCAGATATTTAATCTTCCTCAGGATTACTATATATCTCTGTTAACCCTTCTCCGATGGTTCAACATTTCGCATGCTTTACGCGACGACGCGACGTCTAAATTTTTAAACCTTTTTCCG